CAATCTAGCGAAGGTCACAAACTTAACACTTTCTATTGTACCAAAGTCCTCACTGATTTTGTGCATCAGCATTTGGCGTCGTCCCCTAAGTTCCCGAGTGAGGGAGGCTCCTTGGTTGGGGACTTGCAAGATCCAAGCCATTGAGTAATCACAAAACTTCTAAGTATCGAAGTGTGGTATCATTTTCACTTGCCTTATCTGTCTCATATGTAGATGTGGCATCTTCTCTGGAAGTACTTTTCCTCCATCCAGGGGTGGTATTTTTAAACGATGAAGATGCACAAGGTAATGTATCAATTTCACTTTAGCTTACTTGTAGTTTTGGGCTTGGTCAAGTGCGATACAAACCCTATGGTAGGAGTCCCCCAAGTCACCGAGCTAGGAGATTTCCGAATGAGGTAACAGACAAGGTAAGCAATCAGACTTCTAAGCAAGCAACCTGGATCGGAGGTTCGACTTCAGCTTCCGGTTGATTGTTCTCCTTCTCCTTGTGTCGTAAACAGCAACAAGGATAAGGAGAAGCAAATGGAGAAGATAAGATATGAGATACTTTTGCTTTTGAAGAAGTAACTTTCCACAAGCTTATTCTTGAACTAGGCTGGAGGGTTTTCTGGTTTCCTCCAGAGTATAAGGCCGACTCAAGAATTTGAGGGTAAAAAAAAGTTCATCAAATCTAGAGTACGTTCGACCCTGATGATATGGGATACTTTTGCTGTTGACAAAGTAGTGGATGTACCGACACGTGTTCTGTTACGCTTGTCTCCACATGCTTCCTTGTATCCTTCTCACTTGCCCTATCTATTCCTCAGGCAGATGTGGTATCTTCTCTGGAAGCATAAGATGTTAAAGATGAGTACTCGAGAGCAATGCTAGGTAAGTAGTCAAGCAAGGGGTTCCAAGCAGTTAGTTCCTGATTGGAAACTTGATTCCAAGTGCTGACTGATTGCTCTTTTTCTCCTTATCTTGCAGGTAAGAACAAGGCCAAAGGAAAAGACAGGGAAAAAGCATGATACTCTTGCTTTTAACCCTGATGATATGAGATACTCTTGCTCTGGTGTGGCTTATTTGCAGAGGTATTATCGAGGGGAAAAGAAGTTGAGTATTTCGAGAGACTCTGCTGAGAGTGCCCTCTCGAATGTGAAGAAAAGTTGAGCATTTTTTTATTTGCAGGTCTGCCTAGCTGTGGAGGATGAAGGTCGACATATATAGGAATTGTCCTAATAGCGAGTGGTAACGCTGTTTCTTTACCCTTCTCGATCATAACAATGTAGTGGGAGCTGCAAAATTCATGTGTTTTAACTTTGTCAGAGCACTTTGAAAAAGTAGTTTGTGGTATCTAGAAAGTTGATGTTGCATATGAAGATTGCAGACAAGCTTTATCCAAGGAAATCTGGCTCTTGAAGTTCGGAGAGCGGTGCCTTTTCGGTTTTCGAACAAGCAATCTTGTCTAGGATCTGGCTCTCGAGATTCGGATAACAATGCCTCTTCGATTTTTGAGAAAGCAATCTTGTTGGGAGTCTGGCTCTTGAGATTCGAAAAGCGGTGCCTTTTCGATTTTTGAGAAAGCAATCCTGTTGAGAGTCTGGCTCTCGAGATTCGGAGAGTCGTGCCTCTTCGATTTTTGAAAAAGTAATCCGGTTGTGAGTCTGGCTCTCGAGAGTCGGATAGCAGTGCCTCTTTGATTTTTGAGAAGTCATCCTGGTGGAAGTTTGGTTCTCGAGATTTGGGAAGCGGTGCCTCTTCAATTTTTGAGCAAGCAATCTCGTTGGGAATGTTTTCTCGAATGTGATTAAAGGTTGGGCATTTTTGCCAGTCTGCCTTACACGGAGCATGGAGGTTGACACACATAGGGACTTTCCAGTTATCAAGCAGTGGTGCTTTTCCTTTTCCCTAGTGGGTAATAGTAAGGTAGCTGAACCTTCAAAATATATGTATCTAAACTTTGTGAGAGATCTTTGGCAAAGTTATCTATGGTACCCGAGGAGCTGATGTTGCGTGTGGTGATTGTTGACATATTTTACTCAGGAAAATCTGCTTCTCGAAATCCGAAGAGTGGTGCCTTTTCGATTTTTAAACCAACAGCCCTGTTGCCCTTTCTTTTATAGGGGCACCAATTGTGTGCAAGAAGTACGTTCAGAGAGTTATTGCTTGTAGGAATTTTCCCCTTATTTTTATACTTCAGAGATTTATTGCACCTCATTTCTCCTTCATCATTTCTAAGAATGTCTGGCCCATCCGACCGTCGTTTTGACTTGAACCTTGGTGAAGAGGCAGCCATGCCCTCTCAAGACAACATATGGCGCCCGTCCTTCTTATCCCCTACTGGTCCTCTTACCATTGGGGACTCTGTGATGAAGAATGATATGACAGCTGTGGTGGTGGCCAGGAACGTTCTCACTCCCAAAGATAATAGACTACTTTCCAAACGGTCTGATGAGTTGGCTTTTAAGGATTCTCTGGCTATCAGTGTTCAGTGTGCATGTTCTATGTCTAATATGGCCCAACGTCTATTTGCTCGAACCTGCCAAGTTGAATCATTGGCGGTTGAAGTGATAAGTCTCAAATAGGAGATCAGAGGGCTCAAGCATGAGAATAAACAGTTGCACAGGCTCGCACATGACTATGCTACAAACATGAAGAGGAAGCTCGACCAACTGCAAGAATCTGATGGTCAGATTTTACTTAATCATCAGAGGTTTGTGGGTTTGTTCCAAAGGCATTTATTGCCTTCATCTTTTGGGGCTATACCGCGTAATGAAGCTCCAAATGATCAACCTTCGGTGCCTCTTCCTTCTGGGGTTCTGACCAGTACTTAGGCTCCGAATAATCACCCTCTGGTGCCTCCTCTTTCTGGGGCTCTGCCGACTGCTGAGATTTCTCCTGAGGAACCTTTATAAAGGCTCCCCCTTGTTTGTTTATTTTGATTCATGTATATGTACATATTTGTAACTTATCGGATATATCAATAAACAAGCTTTGCTTCATTTCAACGTATTGTGTTAAATAAACCAAGGCCTTCTTCACTAAGTTCTTTGAATTTTTTTCTTTTGTTAAAGCTTTGTGAGTGAAGCATGTATGTTGAGGTAGTGCTCCCTTAATTTCCCGAGTGAGGAAAACTTCTCGGTTTGAGACTTGAAAAATCCAAGTCATTGAGTGGTCGTGAGACTTTCGAGTATCAAGGTGCAATAGCATATGGTAGGAGTCCCCCAAGTCTCCGGTCGAGGGAGTTGACGAATGAGGCATTTCCTTTCTAAGTGGTAGCCCAAAACTCCTCACTTATTACATATTTGCCCCTTTTATTACATAATTACATTTAAGTCCCCCGAGTATTTATACGAGATCTAAATACGGAGGCCCTACGTGTGGTACAAACAATAGTCCCCCAAGTCTTCAGTCAAAAGAGTCTTTTAGCTGAAGACTTGAAATTCAGTCCATGTGTAGGCCGAAGTAACTAGATGTCGTCTTGAACTGATACTCGATATGAGGCGGTGCCCAATCTGAAATGATGCTCAACCAAAAGTAGCACATGTTACGAGGCTGCTTTGCTTGTGGCTTATATTGCCTTGGTTGGCTCGGCTTGTGGCGTTGAAGGTGAGGGAGTCCATTTTATAGAATAAGGGCTCGCTCCTCAATACAAAAATTATGGGCTATGAGTGATGCTCGTGGCGAGGCAGTTGCTCAACTGGCGGCGATGCTCTCTAATGATGGTGAGGGGTTCCCTTTTATAGAATAAGGGATCGCTCCTCAGTACATGAATAATGGGTGCTCTATAATGAAAGTGAGGAAGTTCCTTTTATAAAATAAGGGCTCGCTCCTCAGTACATGAATAATGGGCTAGAGTCCTCCAAGTACTTTTCATGAGGCCCAATTGTTGAAGCCCAATATATGGTACATAGTGTAGTCCCCCAAGTCTTCAGTCAATAGAGGCTGTTGGCTGGAGACTTCAAATTCAATCCATGTATGGGCCGAAGTGGCGGTTGTTCGGAGGCAGTATTTGTATACCCTGCACTGAAGCTTTGTAGGTGAAGCTTTTGCAAGTGAAGCTTGGAAGTTGGAGCTTTTGTAAATGAAGCTTTTAAAGCTGGAGCTCTGTAGATGAAGCTTTCGAAGCTGATTGACATGAGTGATGCTCATAATGTTGGCATGAATGATGGTCATGAATGTTTATGTATGATTGACACGAGTGATGCTCATGAATGTTTATGTATGATTGACATGAGTGATGCTCATGTATAATTTTGGAGTACTAGACGTACTTTTGATCACCTTGTTGGTGATAATAGCGGCAGACTGCCGAATAATTTTGGAGTACTTTGGCGTACTTTTGATCACCTAGTTGGTGATAATAGCTGTAGGTTGCCGAATATTTTTGGAGTACTGGGCGTACTTTTGATCACCTGGTTGGTGATAATAACGCAGGCTGCCGAATAAATTTGAAGTTTTGGGCGTACATTTGATCACTTGGTTCTGCCGAATAAATTTGGAGTACTGGGCGTACTTTTGATCACCTGGTTGGTGATAATGGCGGCAGGGTGCCGAATAAATTTGGAATACTGGGCGTACTCTTGATTACCTGGTTGGTGATAATAGCGGCAAGCTGCCGAATAATTTTGGAATCATAGGGCCTGGCTCTTTTGGGCATATAGGCCTTGGCCCTCTACATAACATTCCAGCCCATTATTTTGGGCTTGCTGTTTTTTTTTGTTTTTAATTTTTTTTATTACCCTCTGATGGGGTTTATATCGATGTCTCTGAAAGATAAGAAAAATAAATCATATCATTCAAAAATAAATTTGACCCTCAGTTCAATGGGTCACGCCTATAATTCCCTTTTCTGCATGCAATCACCACCGCAATTATGTCTGCTTTTTTTTTTTTTTTTTATCTTCTTTTGCTTTCTGCTTTTGCTTTTGTTTCTCCACTTCCTGCATGTTCTCCTGTAAAACATAACAGCTGCCTGGACAGCCTTGACACCACCCACTTACTTTTCTTGCTTTTGTCTAAAGTGAAGCTGCCTTAACAGTCAGACAGTACTCGATGAAATTGCCATATTCAATGGCCCTCTTTTTGCCTCCAAACTTGTCGAATTTAGAGACCAGCAGTTCCAAAACTACAAGTGACACAGAAAATCCCAGACTCAGTAGTGCATTTCTCAACTTATTTGCATCAATGAACCCACTTTTGTCCCGGTCGAAACTCTCAAATATTCCCCTCCAACTTTGAACACTGTAGAACAATGCAACGAATTCCTTAGGCCCGATCTTCCTAGCGTTGGAGGAACATTCGACCTCTGCTTCAGGATCCTCTTCTTCCTCTGAATTTGAACCACCTTGGGCCATTTCATGAACCGGGTCAAATCCTTCTTCGGTGGCGAACTGGTTCAAAGCTAGAGGAACCTTCAACCTCTACTTCAGAATCCTCTTCTTCCTCTGAATCTGAAACACCTTGGGCCATTTCATGAATCGGGTCAGGTCGGATCCCAAGCCGGTGTCCGGCGAGGTGCCCGTCAAGTTCCCACAGAAGATGAAGAAATTTATGAGCTCCAAGTCTGCTTTTTCTCATTTCCAGGAGGATGATATCGTCGGGATTCGTCGGCCGGTGATCGTGAGGAAGAGGAAACAGCTGTGCTGGAAGATGGAACAAAGATAGAAGATGAAGATGATCAGATGAAGCAGGATGTGACTTTAGCTGCACCAGCGGAAAATAATGATGAGTCGTCTGATCCGTTTGGGCTTGATGCCTTTTTAGCTCCTGGCTCTACAAAGAAAGATGATAGAACAAAGGAAAAAAGAAAAGATAACAAGATCACGAAGGATGAGGAAGAGAGAGATTTGATTCCCTATGTTTCCTAAATACGAACCCAAAACCAAAAAAGCAACAACCTTTATCTTCCCTGTGGGCTTGTGAGGAGTGTTTGAGATTTGGATCTTTTCTATTTCTGGGTTTTTGTGATTTTGCAGATTCACGGCGGAGGTGAAAAAATGAAAGAGACCAACACAACTTTTCGTATCGATTCCCACAGACGGCGCCAAATGTTGATGCACAAAACCGGAGGTCTTGGAACAACGTAAATCCGACCGTGAATCTACAAGAAAGTAAATAACACAAGATGTATCATGGTTCACCCCAATGTTTGGGCTACGTCCACACTCATATTGTATTTCTCTAAGAGGATGAGAAGGTGAGAGCCTCTGAGGGTGAGAGTCAGGCCTAAGAATTGGCTTTCCCTAATTAGGAGAGTGAGGAATCCTTTTATAGAATAAGGGCTCCTCACTTCTTACATATTTGCCCCTTCATTTATTACATAATTACATTTAAATCCCCTGAGTATTTATACAAGATCTAAATATGGAGGCCCTAAGTATGGTATAAATATGCTGAATTCCAGCTGACTACACACCAACCAAGTTCCTTAGAGGGCGATGTGATCACCGAGGAAGCAACACATGTTGATTTCATCATCACCATTGAGGATGAGTTAGCAAACAACGATGATAAACTTAAAACAGCCTTGGACATCTTGTTTCCCCGTCTTTCCCCGGCTAATCTTCAGCATTTAAAACCATTGTATGCCACGACCCATATTGAAGGTTACCCAATCTCTAAAATTTTCGTCGATTGCAGGGCAACGGTCAATATCATGCCTGTATCCGTTATGAAAGCATTACAACGATCCAACGACGAACTCATTCATTCAGGAATAACCATGAGCAGCTTTGTCAGTGATAAGTCTCAAACCAAAGGAGTACTCCTTCTAAAGGTAAACATTGTAGATTGCAATCATATGACCGCATTTTTTATCGTCGACTCCAAGACCAAATATAATGCTTTGCTCGGTAAGGATTGAATCCATCAAACGAATTGCATCCCTTCTTCTTGATACCATGTTCTCATTTTTTGGGATGTCAAATCGGTCGTGGTTCACCCAACCGATAATCAGCCTTTTGAAACCAACATGATTTAGGCCTGCTATTATGATGACCACGTCATCTACATTATCTACAGGATTTTAATGAAGATAGATGGCCGACTCGTATCTCAATCTAGAAAGCCATGGAGGTAGGTGCCGAGACTGTCCACCAGGATTCGGCAAGACTCGACTTGGCCAACTTGATCCCTACCACTGATGATTGACGTTAAAGGCGAGAGGCGTCAAGCCGCGGTTTCATCCATGATGGAACGCCTGCTAGCCCATTGGTATGCTAGTTCCAAGCATCCACATTCGGGCATCAACTTAATTGAATTTTTTGCCGAAGAAGATAACGGCCCAGTACTGTCGTTGGATAAAGTTCAGGCCGTACCGGCCAAACTCAAAGACAGTCGACGTCAAGCTAAGGACCTTTTAGAGGAAATAAATATCGGAACGGCCGACAACCCTCAGTCGTTATTTATTAGTGCATTATTATCCCATACCATGAAAGTCAAACTCCATCAATTACTTAACGAGTTTAAAGATTGTTTTGCTTAGAGTTATCATGAGATGCCGGGTTTTGATCGGACCCTTGTTAAACATGAATTATGCATCAAAGCTAGTTGTAAGCCTTTCCGCCAGCCCCCTCGCCGGTTATCGACCGAAGTACAGCTCGGCATAAAGGACAAACTAGTTGGGCTGTTAAAAGCCAGGTTTATTCGGACAGCTCGATACGTCGAATGGCTGGCCAATATCGTCTCGATGCTAAAGAAAAATGACTCTCTATGCATCTGTATCGATTTTCGTAATCCAAACCTGGCAACGCCCAAAGACGAGTACCCGATGCCGATCTCCAACTTATTAATTGACGCCGCAACACATCATAAGATCATATCCTTCATAGATAAGCATGCCGGTTATAATCAAATTTTCATCATTGAGGCCAACGTCCACAAGACTCTATTTCAGTGTCCTGGGCACTCGGCACATACAAATGGGTCGTCATGCCCTTCGGCCTCAAGAACGCCGGGGCTACATACCAACGAGCTATGAACACTATCTTCCATAACTTAATTGGTACCATCATCGAAGTCTATATCGACGATGTGGTCATCAAATCAGCACGACGACAGACGCACTTGGATGACCTCCGTCAGATATTCCTACGTATGCACCGGCACAATCTGAAAATGAACCCCACCAAATATGCTTTTGGCGTTTCAGCTGGAAATTTTTTTGGTTTCCTCGTACATCACTGTGGTTTTGAGGTAGACGACAACAAGGCTCGCGTAATCATTAATGCTCATCCACCGATGACTAAGAAACAATTACAGTCGTTGCTCGGCAAGAGCAACTTTCTTCGACGATTTATTGCTAACTCGGTCGGGAAAATGAAAGTTTTTTCCACGCTTTTGAAACTTAAGGACTCTGACACCTTCGAATGGTGTGCTGAGCACCAAAAGGCATTCACGACGAGGTCAACCTCTTAAGTTATATATCTTGGCGGCTGAAGAATCCATCGGTTGCCTTCTTGCACAAGACAATGACGTCGGGTGAGAGCAGGCCATTTTTTACCTTAGCTGGAACCTCAACCCACCAGAGATTAATTACTCTACTGTCGAAAAGCTTTGCCTTGCCTTATTTTTTGTCGCATCAAAACTCAGACATTACATGCTCCCGTCAGTCACTCAGGTCATTGCCTAGACCAATGTCATTCGTTACATGCTCACCCGGCCGATCATAAAGGACTGAATCGGCAAATGGACAATAGCCCTTTCTGAATTCAGCTTGCAATATGTACCCCAGAAAGCTGTCAAAGGTCAAGCTCTAGCCGATTTTTTGGCCTATCACCCTTCCCCATATGAATTCGGGGGCAATGCCGTTGACATTGGCCTGATCCAAACACGCAATAATTACTAGACTATGTACTTTGATGGTTCCAGTACTTCAGTCTCAGCTGGCGTTGGGATTGTTATTCAATCCCCCACTGATAATCATTGGTATTTTTCTCTCAAGCTCGATTTCGATTGTACAAATAATCAGGCCGAATACGAAGCTCTTGTTATCGACCTCGGCGTGCTACACGATCTGCGGGAAACTCATGTCCTTGTTCTTGATGACTTTGAACTTGTCATTAATCAACTCAACGGGACTTTTCGTTGCATGAGTTGTACTCTGGCGCCTTACCACATGGTTGTCAGCTATTTGGCCAAATCCTTCGACGGAGTAACTTTCAAACACATTTCACGAATTCATAACAATGACGCTGATGAATTAGCTCAAATAGCCTTCGGAGCCCAACTCATGGGGGTAATTTAGGCCGAGAAATACCTGTGTTACGACAAGTACATTCGGCCCTGATTAATCAGCAAGTTCTCCAACAAGATTGTGTGATCCATACACGAGTCATGTCTTTGCCATCGTTGTTAGAACGTAAGGACATTATTGAGGTTTGTGCCGTCAAAGCATTACCAGACGATTGGAGAAGGATGATTATGCGACATATTGATAACCCTAATGAAAAACACGATCGACGGACAAGGGTTTATGCCACAAACTACATATTACCAGAATGAGTTGTATCAAAAAGGTAAGGACAGGTTACTGTTATTGTGCCTCGGCCCGTAAAAAGCTGCTCAAGCAATGGCAAAAGTACACGAAGGAATTTGTGGAGCCCACCAATCTGGACGAAAAATGCGTTGGCTACTTCGACGGCACAACTATTTCTGGCGGAGTATTCTGAAGGATTGTATTGAGTACGCAAAAGGTTGTGTACAGTGTCAAATCCATGGGCTTATACAGAGAGTACCAGCCAAATCATTACATTCGGTCACTAAACCATGGCCGTTCCGAGGATGGGCCATGGATGTTATCGGTAAAATCACACCATCTTCTGGTGCAGCCAAACATGCGTGGATACTGGTTTCGACGGATTACTTCACCAAATGGGTCGAAGCCAAGTCATATGTCGAGCAATCATAATAGATAATGGTACAATAATGGTACGATTTTTACATCCGATAGATTTAAGGATATACGGAAAATCTAAAGATTCGACTGGAGCAATCTACCCCATACTACCTGCAGGCGAATGGATAGGCCGAAGCAAGTAATAAGTTTCTTATTGGTATTCTTGAAAAGATGATAAATGAAAGGCCAGGCATGTGGCATTTAAGGATAAACGAAGCATTATGGGCTTATCGAACCTCTCAACGGACATCCATCGAAACGACTCCACACGCGTTGACTTATGGACACGACGTAATGTTGCCTGTCGAGCTAAGTGTAAACTCGTTGCGAATAATTGAACAAAGTAGTTTGTTCAGCGCCGAGTACAGTCAAGCTATGAGACAAGAGCTAAAAGATTTAGAAGACGCTCGGCTTGATGCTTATAATTTATTAGTGGCTCAAAAGAAGATCGTCGAGCGT